GTTACTGGAATTTGATACTGTGATTTCACCTGGATTTTTTCGCATATAAAAGATGAATGAAATTATTAGTGAGTCAGCAGTGATATCATGTCCACAGGTCTACCATGCTAGATTACATGGGAGAGAGTCTCGTGGACTAAACTGCACAAATCAACAAACACCGTGTATCTTTTCCCCATGATCTAGCAATATATTTCTCTATTTTTTACAATAGTTTCTAAGTGGTGCTATTTAATTCTGTAATATTTTAGTAATAAATATGTATGTTATTTGATGTTGATTGTCTGACGATAATGTAGACTTTCTTCCCTCATCAAAGAAAAGGGGAACTTATTTTGAGGTTTCTTTAGATAGGAGAAAAAAAACACTTCTGTTTTTTAAGATGCTGTTTAATTGTTGTTATTCTGAGTCTGAGCTGGAGCGAGGACAAGTGAGGAGGACAGTGTCTTCAAAGGCAATAAGAACTTTTCTTAAGCCTTTGGATTGTGTCCAGGTGAGTCATTTAATTGAGTATTAAATCTTAAAGCACTGCTGCTCTATCTGTCCACCCCCTCAACAACAACACCACACAGCTTTTTGTTTCACGTGTCAGTTTTATCTCCATTAGTGTGGCTTTTTGTGTTAAGAAGCAATGAATTCAACCCACGCTTTTTCAGGGTATAGCTGTTTCAATGCCATTTAATCTGCTGCATTATTGAATTTAAAGCTTCCAGTGAATCATTCATAAAAGTAGAAGGGAAATATGTTTCTGATTAATGTACGTTTCTCAGCCTCCTCTTATGAAAGTCCTTTATCATTTAATCTTTTTTTGTGAAACAGTATCTTAGGCTTTTAATAAAATTATTCTTGTGCCCTCTACGCCTTAAGGCTAGTCTGTAGATTTGGTTGAAGCCCAAGATTTGGGCTTTGGAGGGCTTTCTGAATTTTTCAGTGTCAAGAGTACAGTAGATACAGCTCTCGGGTGGAGTTATGGATCTGATGTTGTACCTTGGCACCAATGCTGAAGAGAATGGAGGAATAAGGATGAGAGAAAATCTGTCCAAGCAGGCTGCAAAAATGACTGCTGGATTTTTTACCTCATTATGTCCAACTTTGGAAAGATATATTTGAACTACAACCCTATCTATTCAGGCCAATGTACTTCCTCTAAATTTAGTGGACTTAGACATGTTTATAGCATCTACAAATATGTCTCATTGTTTTCTTTATCTATGAACACTACATTTCTGTCCTGTCATCTTTTCCTAGATAGGACTAAGAAAGCCAGAGGATTAGAAGGAGAAGGAGGAGGATTAAAAAGAAAAGCATCAATCTCATGGAGAACCTGCTGTAAAATAGACTTCACATGTTTATTCAGCAGCTCTGGCTTAACTACATAGACCTGGAAGGTAAATCTGGTACTAAAATCCCGTGTGATGTGAATTTAGTCTGCTTTTATTAGTAGAGACCTTAAGACAAAAAGTACAGTTTCAGATGTTATTTTTTCAGTTATTAGTCTTCTTACAATAACAGAGTGCAGCTGAAAATGCGAAAATCATCAAATTTTGACCAATTTGGCTTCCTCAGTCCCGCTCACTATTCGCACTTCATTGTGCCTCCTTAGCTTGTTTTCATTCTACTGTAATTATCAGTGGTAATTTTGTGTATCTATACACATAAATCTGTGTGTGTGTGTGTGTGTGTGTGTGTGTGCATATACACAAATATACATACGCAATATACATATGCATATCCTTAAGATACTATCTTACCTTAAGTATGCACCAGTAAGACAGTAAGTTTGTAGATTAAGGTATTTTATAAGACCTCTACAAGCAGGATTAATCTACTCTAATCTAGACAACTTAATGTTAGCTACTAATTTTGATATTATCCGTGGGTTGTTTTATAGTTAAGAGACAGAGAAATAAGGTCTGACAGAGCAATTCAATACACATTAAGATAGACACTTAGGATAGCGCAGATGAATATCCACGGATTATAAAGGGAAGAATGGCTGCCAAACAGAGACGTATATGTTTAACTTTTAGACATCAAGACTTAGCTGTTATGAATCTCAGTCTCTGTAACTCAGGTTTTTTGCCCTTTCTCTGGAATACGAGACACAGGAAGGGCTTGAGAGACCCTGTTCTTTCTAAATGTTAGGGGGATCAAACCACCCTGCCTTCAGACTGGAGAAAGTGCTGTTTCACTGTCCATGGAGGCTGTGATCACACCCAAATGGTCTGCTCGCACCATCTCTCCCTGCCTGGTTTGTCCATTTTCCTCTCATGCTTCCAGGCAGTTCTCCGTCTTTTCCTGTTCTCTCCTCAAGCCTGAAGCCACACAGTACCTCCTTGGATATAGGTTTATAGCTCAGTCAGAGGTAGCTTTATAAATAAAAAGCCTTCAGGTGCTAGAAAATAACTAGCAATTTCAACTTGCAGAATAATGGAATTCAGTCATTGGATTTCCAATGCTTACGACTCAGTGATCAGTTAGACAGTTCATATGCGCATTTGTCTTTCAGTATAAACAGCTTTGGAAAGTTCCTCTTAAAATTATTTGCATTTTGTAAGGCTCCCTCACCTTATACACAATGCAATGCATGGGCTGTTTGAAGCATTTTCGAAAATGTTTTTGAGAGATTACAAATATGGATGCAGTATGGCCATTCATTGTCATGACTTTCTTCTACAAATACTGCATCTCTCTTACAGCAAGGATTAGAAACAAAAAATCAGGTTACAATAGACACAAGGCTGCACAAAGCTGTTTTTTTCACCACACGTCAGCATCTCTCTGCTCTGTTTTCCTCTCCAAATACTCCTCCACTAAGCAAAATGCATATAATCATCAACTTTTTTATACGAAGTCCAACTTTCACAAGATTCTCATGAGCTTTTTTACTTCAGTCAAGCAGTCCACATTATCCTTTGCTCAAAAAGACAAGCTATGTATGGGTGATGAAGGGCTTATACCTGGGCAACATATTTTACATTCAAATTAATTCAAACTAAAGAATGATCTAACAAAGTGACAGGTTGATCCTGGACACATTAAAATCTATACTAAATTGTGTTTATACTTCATGGTGCAGAATCGCATTTTGTTATTGGATTTATCTTGACTAGAAACTCAACTAGCCCTAGTCTTGGACTCAAACAGCCTCCAGCTTTTCAAACGCTGAATTCAATCTTTACAGTTAAGCCCCTTACCACAAATATTTTATATGGCATAATCTCAGAGGTTAGAACACTTATGCATTAGACAATGAAAGGATGAGTAATTCTTTATATTGCTGAGTCCATTGGATATTTCAGTAACATTCAGGGAAAATTAGTAAGTAAATGTATCTCCTGTATACTACAACACTAAGCATGCTGAGGTTTCTTATATGTCTGCACTTTCAGTTTTCTTCCTTCTTCTTTCCCTTTCTTGCTCATGTCTTCTTTAGTATGTCAGACCACTTGGCTTTCCTCCCGCTCAGTGTCTTGTATGACTGGTGAACACGAGCGTCTCCAGGGAGCTGCCTGTCTCAGTCAATGCTCTCATTTTTTTTCTTAGGACAGGGCTCCTTGCCTAAAGGCTGCTATCTTTTCACTGCACAGCCTATCAGTTCCCATTTAAACTGGCATCCATTTCAGCTTGTTAGACTGTGTGAAATAGCCCTCCTTCTCGCTTCCTCCTCGGCCATCACCCTGACCCCTTGTGCCACTGTGGCATTGTCACCGGCCTCTGTCGTTTATTCAGCATATCCTTGCCTGTCATCACCCTGCACTTGCACCAAACACACATCATAGGACACCTAACGTGCACTCCTTGTCCCACAGCGGCTCATCTCTGAACAGAGGGATTCAAATTGCACGGGAGATTTTGCTCTCTATTTTTATTGGTTTCCTGTTGTCCTTCATATATACTGGTATAAGCATATGTGAGCTGCACATACAGGCTCTGACTACATTCACTAAAGGCTTGCTACAGGAATTTTTCCTGTTAGGCTGAGTCAATCCTCTCCACAACTGTATAGGCTCGAGACTGATCCCGCATGAGCCTGCTGCCTCTCTGCTGCTGCGCCGCCATCTTGCACACTCCCATAATACAATGGCCAACAGATTCCACAGTCGTTGGCATCTCCTTGTCACTTTACAAGGATAATCTTCACTAAAATCACAAGCACAAGAAGCAGTTTATTCCACTGTATTGTTTTCCTGAACTACTGTGTTGAAGACTTTCTCAGCAATCTTCCTAGCATAAGTCTGAATCATTATTTATTTGACATTCTAGAGCTCCTATAACATGTTTGAGACATCTCTCCATCTTTCTTTGTGGAACTAGTCATTTAGTGATGTAATAAATGCACCCTTGCGTGTCCTCTTGACATTTGAAGATAGAGTCTGGGGCGTCTGCTACGGTTCGAGTATACACGTTACTAGGTACTAGTCATCTTAATATAGTGTCACTGTTACACATTTGAGGGGAAATCTACTTTTATATTGTACACACTCTTCTGTAGTAGTTTCATTCCTGGGGTGTGTATTCCTTGCATATCCCAAACAAAATCAGCAGCATCCCAACAGCAGACAATATCTGCCTGGGGTGTAAAGAGCCCAGGCTGCTGTGTCAGTGAGCTCTACTAGTTACTTAAGAGACCATTAGTAATTTTTATATTTCAGTTTGTGATCTTGGTGACATGGAACTGTGTCGATTTTGTTCATAGGCTAGTGTACATGCAGAATACTTTGTAATTGCTCAGCAAAACATTTTATTCTATAAACCAGTATATTTGCAGCTCTAGAGTGAATGTTAGAGTGGACTAAAAAACCATGGGTTTATAGCTCTTTCCAGTGCCCTCTAAAATTCTCAGATACACAAAACTTAAAACAAAAATAATCTCATGTTGGGAATTAACAATGCTCCAACTCTGACAATAAAAGCCATTGGGTTCCAAACTGTAAATTAACGTTTTATTAAGTGCACAGCCAGTAAAGGAAAAGGGTAAAAGAATGTGCTTTACTCACCCAAGGAGTTTGACTGAATGAATTTTCCATTGCGATCCTTCATTGTAAGAGTGTTTATAGATTCCCTTTTTGTAAAGGAAAAAATCTTCATATACTTTCATCATAGCTAAAAAAACACAGGAAAAAATCAGCACAGTCAGCAAATATTACTTTTATTGTAGTTTGCTCCTTGTATTTTACCAGTGAGATCTGTTGTATGCTAGACTGTATAAGCGTACGTTGTAATTATAATGAATTCACTAATTGCACGGAAGTTTCGTGCTATAAGTAAGCCAAGGGAAATATTCCAACAGATTTCTCTCTGAGGTCTCTTGTCAAATTAATTGAGTTTCCCTGTCATGGAAACTCCCTGTCAGGGACTTCTTCCAATGCAAGTAAGTCTTCCAAGTAAGAAGAAATATCACCTTCTGTATGAGTACATAAGTTTTTCAGCCCTAGCCAGGACCAGTTTAATGAGACGAATCTCCTCAAAGTTCATTCATTAAATTCTCAGTTCTGACAAGCATCTTACCAGCATATATTCAAGAACAGTATTTAATAGTCAATGTACATCCATTTATATAATAATCTTTAAAATACGGCACAGCAATAGACCTCTGGTGATTTGCTTGTCTTTGTCTGAACCTTATATAAACTTCAGTAAGTACACTGGAATTCCCTCATGGAAAGCTAGATTTTCTATATACATGTTCAATCTGACTTTCAGCTGAAAGTATTATAGAGAAGAGGAAAAAACAATGCTTTGTGTCATTAACAACGTAAGGCCAAAGAACTGATGAAGCGGAGATTCTGTGCAAGAGAAGGAAAATTACAATTTGCATTTTATGTATATGCATCTCTTCATGGGAATAACAGTATCTTTTTTTTTAAAGAAAATATTTCTAGTTTTTTTTTTTCCACATTTGTTCTCTTACCTTAGTATCTTTGCTCTGCTATATGGCAGGCTGCCAGATCCAGAAAAACAAAAAATTTTCCAGGTCTACATTACCTTTAAATTCTAGTGAATGTGAAGCATAAATACAAGCTTAACTCCAGCTTACATTTAGCTTCTAATTTTAACACTATTATACTTCCACATACATGGAACATGAGAATTAATGAAGCCTCATTTCCTAGGGGCTTGTGCCTTGTGAGTCTAATAAAACACAAGTTTCATGGACAATTTTTTTTTGTGGTTAGAGCATTTCTAACATATGTGCCTGGTGTAGATCTGTGGTACCCAGTAAGACGAGCTTATACTGCAGTTTTTTCTTTATCTGGCACATTTCCAAATTTCTTTCCCCTACTTGAGTATTTTCACAAACTTGAAGGAAATTATTTATCTTTACAACCTCTTGGCCTCTATTAAATTTGGTCGAAAACAGAAAATGTTCATAAACTTTATGGGGGTGGAGGTGAAAGGGGAAGGAAAAGAACAGCTCCAGATTTGAATAAATGAGCCCATTTGCCTAGGAAACCTAGCTAAAAATATTCTCTGTTAATGGAGTCACTCATATTCAAAATGCATGCAGATAGCAACACACGGGGAATAAGCAACAGTGATACTGCCTGAGAGACAAGTCTGCGGAAGAGCTTTATCAGATAAATAAGAAAAAAATTAAGTTTATTTAATGAATAACGCTACAGCTTTTGCCAGTTCTATCTGCAGGATTAGACCTCACAGATACTGAAAGCAATAGACCAAGTGGAAAATAGCACAAATGTTATATTTGCTCTTTATCCATAAGCTCAGGATTTCGTCAGAGCTCTCTGGAAATTTTTTTTTTTTTCCTCTTTTTTTCCCCAGGATCAGTAGTCTATAAATCTAAAGGGGCTTTAGATCATGTGGGTTCACCTGTACCGCTATTTAAAAACACGACGAAAAATTCTGTGAAAGAGAATTTCAGCCAGGATTACATATTATACCTATATTTATAATGTGTGTGTGTGTGTGTGTAAATATATATATATATATCTCTATATCCTCCATATTAATCAGGAGCTAAATAATGGTACAATATTGGGTGTTAGGTGGCCTGGGTACATGCAGTGTAGAGTGCACGGAGGGCTGATGATTCAAAATTAAGTCCAGGAATTACTAAGATATTTTTATTTATTCAGTGACATTGTCCTGACATGGACAGGACTGAGACAATGGCACTCTACCAGCTGACTGTACTCCCTCCTAGGTAGAAGAGGCTATGTATTTCCCAAAATGAATGGATTAATTTTTCGTGGATCAGAAGATTTTCAAAACCACAATTTTCCTAAGGTAGACTGTAGCTCATGCATGAACTCCTTCAGTCATGCTGAGCCATCAGATCTACATATGTAAACATAGCAGACTATTACATCTATTTCAATATAGATTTTTCTGCATAAAAATCTTGAATTAAAATCTATTCATCTAAAACATACTAAGATACAAAAAATAAAAAATTAGTCACTACAGAAAGAACAAAAGTATAACACTGTACCATGTATATACCATAGTGCTTTCTCTAGTTCCTTTTTATTGTGGCAGCAAATTAAATATCATTGTTTTCCAAGATCATGATAGCTAAAATTATGTGTTTTGTAGTGGAAAAACTCTTTGTGTTTTGCCGATAATGGATTAGCTATTCTTTTGGTTGAGACTGAATCATGTGATAGAGGCATATTTTTTCTGTCAACACTATAGCTATCAGAAAATTTTCTAAAGTTCATTATTAAAATGTTGAGAGGGAAATATTCAATTATCCATTTGAATATCCACGATGTTTATTTGGGAATGAAATCCTTTAAAAAAAAAAAAAAACAGTTTCATCATTTGCACCCGAAACTGCTAACTGCTCAGTTTATGTACCATGTAACACAACAAAGTTTGCCATAGAGAAATTGTCATTTGATTTTGAAAGTTTTATAAAAGAAAGTTTTTAATTAAATTATCACATCTACTATTTCATAATGGTAAGAAAATCATATATTTTCTTACCTTTGAATATGAAGAAAAGCCCAGATATATTCATAATGATACAAGACGACTATCTACATCATGATCTTGAAAGGATTTTGAACGTTTTCCAACTATTAAAAATTACTTTGTACATTAGCTAGGATAGGCCATAAGCACTTTGCAAATTCTTGAGGAATGACAAATGGAGTAATCCTAGAAAATAATTTTCTGTAGCTGAAGATCACTCACTTTATGTTTTGGAAAAAAAAAAAGTATGATATGGTTTTAAAATTAGGATTGTGCCCTAATTGCATTTTGTAGTACAGGCAGATAGAATAGAGAACCAGTGACAAATTATTGGGTCATAACTGTCATAACTGTGACATAGATAAAAATCTCATTATAACAAAAAGAAAAAATGGAAAGGGATTTCACTGTGATACGTTCTCTCTGATATATGCTTATTTTCAGATTTTGATTTTTCACAAACAACATTACCTTAAGCTGATACAGCATTTCAGGAAATTATAGGAATTATTAAATGGTTAAAACTTAATGAATGGCTTAATACGGATTGTTTTATGGGAAAGACTTAGTATTGATAGATTAATGCAGCAAACTGTGTGTACATATCTTAGGAATGCAGTATTAGAAAATGGTCTAAGTTTTTATCTTCAGGATCCTAATTCTCTCATTTTCTTTAAACCAGTGGAACTTACTGTATTCATTCCTAGATCAAATGAAGCACAGGGAAGAATATTTTCCCTGAACAAACAAACTTGGGCAGATCACAAAAGACTGCTAGTATTAATCTTATTAAGCTTCAGCTTCAAATTAATTGCTGCTGCCCACGTAAAGTGTTTAAGAGAAGATTTCAACACCGAGATGCATTGAAATGAATTCAATTTAATTATCAGGACAATTGCAATAACAATTTGGAAGCAAGAATAATACACTATAAAATTAAAGGCAGTAGAAATGTAGACTTGAGGAATAATATATAAAATACTATTCCCTTAAAAATCCCCTAAAATCAAATGCTTAGTTTTTCTGTAGGACTTCCTTTATTTCCATCTATGAAAGACGGAAATCCCACCGAACACACTTTCCTCGTCACCCAAGTCTCAGTCCCCAAACTCTGATGTCTCAGGAGAACCGGAGGGTGAGAAGCTGCGGGCTCAGGCACCACCAAGTGCCATCTGCGGCTGCAGCCAGATATGGGTTGGGTAAAGCATCTCTTCCACCCTCACTTCCTACCAAAGTCTTTATTTCCCTAAGAGAGCTGGATTCTTGAATGCAGGTCTCAGATGAAAGTGCAGAACCTGTGAACCTTTTGTGGCAAACAAACGTATACAGGCTGGAAAAGGGGAAATTCTGGGAGTGTTACAGCACTGAATGATTCACTGGAGGGTGCAAATGCTTCGGTGCTGCCTTTGGAGGGCAGCAGGCATGATAGGCAGGCCCTGCCTAGCAGCAGCATCTACCCCAGCCCCGAACTGCTGAGCTCTGCAGACATTACACTTCACCCGCACAGTCCCAAAATGCCATTTCATCAGTGAATAAGAAGCTGGCCTGGGGAAAAGATACATTTCCAGCACATACATTTTACATGCATTTTTCAACAAAATCAGTCTGAGGTCATTTTGCTTATTACAGACCCTTATCCAGTACAGCTATTTCTAGGGGGACTACTTGCACACCGAAAGTTATATAAATGCTGGAGTCCCTCGATGAACTACAGCCCATATGTCTGTTTTATTCACTTTGGAATGCAATCTATGATTCCTAATATTTTGATACAAGGTTACTGCACAATTTAATTATTTCAGTAATAATATTATCATCTTTCAAACGTACCATACCTTGCACTGGTCCTTTGTCCATGATTTCTTTCATTATATCAGTTTCCTGAGGGGAAGGAAGAGCAGGAGTGGAGAGGGGAAAGGAATAAAATATATTCTATTAAATCAAATTAAACCATATGCTGATTTACCATTGTGTATGTACACATGTGGTATGAACATATCAGTGTACTTGTATTTCTGCTACAGAATGTTAGGCTTATCAAATGAGCATAAATATATTTAAGAAGAAGTTGTGCAGAGATACAACTGCATAATATCTTTTCTATCTCTAATTTCTGTAGGATCACAGAGCAGCACTTTTAAGGAGATAATGTAAGGCTGAGAAACAATATAGAACTTAAAACATTCTGAAAGTAATAGGGCAATAAGCTTTGTAACAGCCCTAGTTCTTGAGTAAAGTGAATACATTTCCATATGCTAGCTAACTTTCAAGCCCCAAAGGACAAAAAACAAATAGAGGAGAGGGTGAATACATAGCATGAACTTACTTGTGAGGAGACCCTGTAGTGGGAGGCACACCGATATAACCGATTGGATTCCTCTAAAGCATTGGGACACGGCCCTGTTGTATAATTTTTCCCGTGTTCACTTGACACATAACAGTGATGCTCACCTGGTGGCTCCAGGTGATGATTCCAAAATGATGGATAACAAGAATAAGATACAACCCTGTTCAGATAAAAAAATAAATTAAGAAGCTTGTTTAAATAGTTTTCCAGTTTTATTTCAAATTTTTAATTATTTGAACACTGCCCACATATCAAGCAAGTTTACAGAGTTCCTCATTCTGTAAAAGTATGAATATGTCCTCTGCCTTCAGCAGGTTTTTTTTTCAGGATGGTGTTTGGTTCAGGGACAGGGGGACCGGGATTTTTCCCTTCTATCAGCTAGATTGTCCTGCTGGAGTTGTCACAAATTCTGCCTACATCTTCTACGGCAAAAGAAGTGAACCACTAAAGGATGAGCTGGCGTGTTGGAGGTACTTGGTAATTTGGACAAGGTAACTCTGAAATAACAGTTACTTTTAAATTCTTTCATTAAACATAGTCTTTGCAGTTTAACATAATTAACATAAAGATAGGTATCAGCTCTTTGCATTAGTTTGCACATTCTGAAACAAATTTCACATTTGAGGGATAGGACCAGAGAAGACCCCGACAGAAGAGTCATAGAAGAATACCTGAAATAAACATGAATGTGTTTGTGTGTACATGTACCTATGCATATGCACATATAGTAGCACTAAGAGCAATCAATATCCAACGAGAAACATCAGAAGTTAATGCTGTATTCATAAAACCTTAGCAGAGTTCATATGAGGTTATTTATGATTTTGTGTATGCAATCCAATGACAATCTTTCATTTTTATTGCATTTATGTGCCTTAACTGAGATAAGGACATAATTTAAAATATTAGCTTATATTATTATTAGCAAGTTGGCCAAAATTAATAACAATAATATCCTTATCACACTCTGCAACCACTGGGAGGCCAAATTCTGAAACAGGTCAGACACTGCTTAAAAGCAATATTTCCATTCAGGTGTATTAACCCTTTGCTACCTGGAACTGAAATGGTTCTTCTCCATTTTTAAAGACTTTAAGCTTTTAATTTCCGTTACCAGATAAAATAGATGCTTTCAGACCTCATAGATCCCTCCCAATTTATAACTTGTAACTAAGAGCCCTAAAATTGATAATAATCAGCTAGATTTATTCTTTAATTAATGAAGAAAGAGAGAGAGAGGGAAAGTGAGTGTCAGGTAGCGGTTCAATTCCACTGATAACAGATTTCACTGTTAACTGGGCACTCAGCATTTCTGAAAGGTCGGGTCACACCATTGGCTTAACTCTCCTCACTCAGCTCTATGGAAGTCTTCTATTGACTTCATTACGGACAGTTTAGGTCAGCATTTGGTTTTCTTGAAGGTCTATCAAAAATCTGAGATAAGCACACTTCAGAAAGCAGAAAGCCAGGAGCTTTAAAACAACATTGAAGACCTGCTGTGAAAGTTTACAAGCCCACACAGAAAATCAATGATGTGCTTTCCTCTTATTGCTAGGTATGGAGATAATGAAAAAAAGGATTGCAAGATACTGGCTCATAAAATAAAATTTACCTGAAAGTGTGAGAAAGGAAGTGGTATTTAACAAGGCTCATTCAAGAGACACTTTAGACTTTTATTCCATAAATTTCCAATTTTTCATAGTCAAAAGTAAAGGATGATGGATTGCAATGTTTCAGCAACTAAAATGATTCAACTGTTAGTGCCAGTGAATCACAAAAGTTTTTTCTTTTTTTAGGTAAACATGATACCATTTGCTCTTGGCCTGTGTCAGAAACAAAGGGTGGAACTAGATGGACCCTTGCTCTGGCCATCCTTGTGCTCTTTCAGTATCTGCCCTCTCCATTTGGATCTTTTTCTTAATGTGCTTATCTGTAGTTAAGATTGTTGGAGGATAATTTGAAATATCCTTTGGATATGGGAAAGAAAATGAGTATTTTGAAGTCTTTTGTTTATTAAGCAGGCTAAGTACAGATATTTTCATGTGTGATACTTTGGTGAATCAACAATCAGGGATAAATATGGATGACAGGTAAAGGTCTGTAAGAGCGCAGGGACGTTGTACCTGCAGCAACTGGCTCTGCGGAAACAATAAAACTGGATGATTGGCCATATATTACAGAGATCTCATGGACAGTCTTCAAAAAATTCATGATGGCTCTTGCAATTGCCTTGCAGATTCTTTATTCAGACAGTCCACTGCAAGAGTCTGGTGAATACCATAAGGTGTCTTAGATGACTGAGCAATAATGCATGCATTTGTGAGTTCAGAGGCCAAAGGGTCTAATTTTAAGTCACCTCTGGGGATGAGAGGTGCCCTACCTCAGTGCTTTCAAACTTATGCCAGTCAAAAGGCCTGTTCTACACATCGGTTTCAGATTAGTACAATATGGTCAGCCGTGAAGTATTCTTCTCACTGCAGTATTTATATTAGCACAAGCTCCAGTGTGGATACAACAAAGTAGTTAAAAGAGTTGTTTCATACAGCTTCAGCCCACCTTTCTTTCCTTATGGAAATGAACTAATTTCTGTATACTTATACTGCCTTTGCAGAAAGGGTTGCACCACTCTACCCACATTGCTGCAGGTAAAAAAATATACAACTTTCTGGTGTAGAAAGAGTCTTATTATTGGACATTATGGTGGTTACGCCTACACAGAGATAATAGAGGGAACAGAAGCCTGGGAGACTGTGCTATATCTGCATTCTTTAGTTTTTTTCCTCTGAAAAAGGAGCTCCAGCTCTTGTGGAGTGAATACTCATTCAAATGGGTCTTTTATCTGATCTACTCCGGTAATTCTTGTGTTGCTATCCCTAATATGATAAGCAAGTGAATAATCAGAGGTTAAAAAAAACAAAAAAGAGTTTTATTTACTTTCTTAAGATCTTGAGCTGTCAGTTAAAAGAAGCCTGCTCTTGAAGTTACAGAAAAGCATTGCTTAAAATACTAAACTATAACTTTCATCGCATTAGGAAAGCCTTTGGCTTTACATGAATAAGATGCTAAGAGGCCCTTTCTAGGGTGGAATTCATTACTATCACAATGTAATTAGGGTCTACCACTCAAAACCTAGATCAAAATTAGTATCCTTCTAATATTTAAACCCTGAGACAGGAAAACAGAGAAATGCTTGTTGCAAAATCTCCTCATAACAATACAAGAACCTTGTCAGAGCAGAAATACACTCCATACACTTGAAGCTAACCATCATGATTGCTCTGTGTACTTAGTGTCCATGTGAATGACAGCACTTTAGTCTTAACTTGGATCCTCAGGCTGCCATGACAACTACGATGTCTGATGCGTCATGGCTAACATTCTCTTGATCTGTTCATGTTTTTTGTTTTTTGTTTTTTTTTTAACTAACATTAAAAGTTGGCAATAGTAGACCTGAGATCTGTCTTTCTGCTAGCATTAGATGTACCAGAGAAAGGGATGTGTGCCTGTAAAAGCGAGAGAGTGGGTAGATTTTGGTATGGAACAGGAGGTATAAATTAATTCTCGTAACATGAGAAAGCTGAAATTGATTATAGATTATATAAAATGTGATTATTGTAGATTCTCCTTGAAGCCATTTCCAGGCATGTGAAGGCCAAGAAGTAGATTGGGAGCAGAAAGCACAGGTTTGCCAGGGTAGAGGGTGCCTAACCGTCCTGATTCCTCTGTATAAATGGATGACTGACTCCATAGACGAAAGAAGAACAGTGGATACCATTTACCTTGACTTTAGCAACATTTTCAGCACAATCTCCTGTAGTATTCTTCCAGGCAAATTGGAGAGATGTAGACTGGATGGGTCAGAGGAAACTGAACTGGACTACCATGCTCAAAGGTCAGCAGTTCAAAATGACCATTCAATAGTGACATTCATTAGGGCCTAACAATGGCACAATACTGTTTAGCATCTATATTAACAACCCGGAGAGTGGGACATAAGGAACTATCCATTCTCAGACATATTCAAAACCCAGCTGGACACAGCTCTGAGCAATTTGATCTAATTTCAGAGTTAGTCATGCTTTGAGCAGGAGGTGGCCTCTAGAAGTTCATGTCAGCCTAAATTTTCCTGTGATTCTATAAATTATTATTTGTCATTTTAGAAAGCTCCTAGCTGTTGATGTAGAATTTGAGGGCCATTAATTTCTTTTAATCTAACTCGAACAGAACAAAGATCTAGATACATCCCTTGCTGCAGTGTTGCATTCTGGCACCACCTTGAGATGGCATAACTACAATTTGCTTTATATAAAGACTATATTTGACCATTTTGAAACTTTAAAATATCGTTTTGCACAACTGGCTGCTTACTCAAGGTTGCTTAACATGAAGACTCCTTATTCCAAGAACTATAAACATTTTGAGTCTATTTATGATACTATCCTTGACATAAAAAATAATCCTTTAGTT